ACTAAAAGGACAAATTGCGGTATTCTTAGAAAAGTATACAACCAGATGTCATTACCGAAAATATGCTTAATCCCACCAGGTATATTATATGAGGAAATGTGTATAAAGTTAATGTTTCTCTCTGTTAAATTGAAGCTTTTATTAACAAGAATGCTTTTCTGGGGTAATAAAGGGATCAGAAGGTTAGGATCCTCATTGGCACGATTGATTGGAAGTATCACCTGTGCACATACCTACATGTTAATAATTTCCCCTGCTTTATGATTTTCCTTTTATTTGTCACTTGTAAGCAATCAAAACTGATATGCTTTTTTCTTATTACTAATATTTAAGGCGAGTTAAGTTTTGCTTGAGTTTTCTGTTAAGGTGGTCATTTTCTTATATTTGGTCCAGAATCCGTTGCTTTTTTACAATTTTGAAGATTATTTTCATCTCTCTATTGAAGCAGGAAACTTTCAAGGCATCGCCTAATAATACACAGTCACCTGAAGTGTCATCAAAAGCTTCAGCCAATTGTGAAGATGTTAATGATAGCATCAAGTGCTTGACGGAGAAATTATCAGCTGCTCTAGTTAATGTTAGTGCCAAAGAGGACTTGGTGAAGCAACATGCTAAAGTTGCTGAAGAAGCTATTGCAGGTATTATTACTTCCATGTTATGGAACATAATTCTAAATGGTTTTTCCTTTTTTCACATCCGTCGTATATTTTCTTAATTATAGTCTACTTACTAAGTTCTAGTTAATTTTCTCAATTGAACTTTAGGTTGGGAAAAGGCAGAAAATGAAGTAGTGGTATTGAAGCAAAAACTTGAGGCTGCAGTTCAGCAAAACTCAACTCTAGAAGATCGAGTGAGCCATCTTGATGGAGCTCTCAAGGAATGTGTTCGGCAGCTAAGACAAGCAAGAGAGGAGCAGGAGCAAAAGATCCAAGAAGCTGTGGCAAAGACTAGCCGGGATTGGGAAACTACCAAATTTGAACTTGAAAGCCAATTGCTGGAGCTCCAAGATAAAGCTGGAGCTGTTAAGTCTGATTTCAAACCTCACTTCAGTCCTGACGTTTTGCATAAGATTGAAGCTTTGGAGAAGGAAAATTCAGCTCTCAAGCTTGAGCTCTCATCTCAGTTGGAGGAGTTCGAAGTCAGAACACTTGAAAGGGACTTAAGTACCCAAGCAGCTGAAACAGCTAGCAAACAACTCTTAGAGAGCATAAAGAAGGTTGCAAAGCTAGAAGCTGAGTGCCGAAGACTAAAAGCCATAGCTTGTAAATCGTCCTTGGTTAATGATCATAAATCCCCAGCTGCCTCCTCAATTTATGTTGAGTCGTTCACTGATAGCCATTCAGAGAATGGAGAAGGGCTTAATATGGTAGATTTTGATACCCGCAAGATGGGTGGCTTGGAGGCAAACAAAGGAGAACCTAGCTGTTCTGACTCATGGGCATCAGCCCTCATTGCTGAACTTGATCAATTCAAAAATGAAAAGGTCATCAATAGAAATCTACCCACTTCTTCCATTGAGATTGATCTCATGGATGATTTTCTTGAGATGGAGCGGCTTGCTGCATTGTCTGAAACCAAGACTGAAAATCAATGTCTTGAGTCAAAAGCTACTGCCGAACAATGTAATGATAGTGATAACTCATTAAAGGCTGAACTTGAAGCCATGATTCATCGAACAGCGGAACTTGAAGTGAAACTGGAGATGATTGAACTTGAGAAGGCTGAACTAGAGCGATCTGCCAAACAATGTAATGATAGTGATAACTCATTAAAGGCTGAACTTGAAGCCATGATTCATCGAACAGCGGAACTTGAAGAGAAATTGGAGAAGATTGAATTTGAGAAGGCTGAACTAGAGCGATCTGCCGAACAATCTAATGATAGTGACAACTCATTAAAGGCTGAACTCGAAGCCATGATTCATCGAACAGCGGAAATTGAAGAGAAATTGGAGAAGATTGAACTTGTGAAGGCTGAACTAGAGATCGCTCTCACCAAGAGTCAGCAAAATCTAGAAGCATCAAAGCTACAGCTGAGAGACACTGAAACAAAATTAGAGCAATTGCAAAGGGAGCTGTCCATGGCAAATGAAGCAAAGGAGCATCTTGAGTCTCAACTCAGTAGCATGGAAACAGATACAGAGACAATGTCAGCAAAGATCAACTCATTAGAAGCTGAAATTGAAAAGGAAAGGGCCTTGTCAGCGCAAGTTTCAGCTGATGCAAATGAAGCGAAGCAACTTTTCGAGTCTCAACTCATTAGCATTGAAGCAGACGCTCTCACAATGTCTTCAAAGATCGATTCATTAGAAACAGAAGTTGAAAAGGAAAGGGCATTGTCAGCGCAAATTACAGTCAAGTGTCAAGAATTGGAGGAAGAACTGTCAAGAAAGAGACAACATGAAGCTGAGATCCAGCAAACTGCAAACTCAAATGTTGAATTGAAGATAAAACAGGTTACTCATCAGTCTTCATGATTTCACTCAATCATAATGCATTTTTATTTTCCCCTTAATCATTCATTTACTCTAGACTTTCAAATTATGGAACATTCCATCTTTCTAATACTGGTATGACCCAATGGCAGGAGGATTTGGCGGTAGCTGCTGGAAAGCTTGCTGAGTGTCAAAAAACAATAGCATCTTTAGGGCAGCAACTTAAATCTCTTGCAACCCTCGAAGACTTCTTAATTGACACCACAGGCATACCAGAGTTGCCTAGAGGAGGATCATTGATTCCTAAAGCTGGCACAGAACCTTGGAAGTTACATTCTAATGAAACATTTTCACCCAAAGTAGATCCAGATTCACCAAGAGTTAGTACTGGTCCTTCAGTAAATAAGAATGATGGAAACACACCACCCTCTTCGTCGTCATCTTCATCAATTGTGTCATCAAGTCATGCCAGTTCAGAAAAGAACCGAAACGGGTTTGCAAAGTTTTTCACTCGGAGTAAGAATGGGATACAACTAGAAATTTAAGAGACTTAGATTAGTTTGTAATACAAAAGGAATTGTTTGTCATTTGAAACTTGAAAGGCAGTGGTTAAATGCTGTTTAATCACCATTCAGTTAGTTCAGTTTTAGGTATTGTCTCATTTATAGCTTTATACATGAATGATGAATGGTTTTCTAGACTGTGGATATAAAAGTTTCAAATTGAAATTTCAAATGCTTTGGGGTTATGCTTCTGTATCTTCATATGTAAAACCAAAAAATGCAGCTTGTGTAAGATGGCTTTTTCCTTTACTCTTTTTCCCTTTTTCAGATTTAGGCCATGTTAGCTTTTATAAGTGTCAAAATGGGCTTGTATGAAAAAGGAGAAGCACTAGTTTTCAATCAAGCAAAAAAAGAAGCAATTGTTGTTGGTTTTGGTGCAAAGCAATGTTGTTTATGGAGGCTTGTAAATGAAGTTGATGTCTAAGGCCTAAGCTGCAGGTTACAGCTAATTTGATGTGGATTTTGTTTTATCTTTGGATTCTAAATTCTCAAAGCATGCAGGAGGTTTGTAATTTTCTATGATCATTGTTCTTGGAAGTTGGAATACAAGTAAATCATCGAATATAATGTTTCTTTAATCTTTGTTACCTATCAAGGTGGGAAAGTTTAAATCTACAGTTAATGCTCTCACATTTCAAGGTGGCATTGGCTAAAGCAGTTGACCAAATGATGGTATTGTCGTACAAACTTGCATAGTTGCATTCATTTCCCAAATTCTCAGCTTCTTGAAAACCTGAATAGTATGAACAAAAAAAATGAAAACCTGAATAGCATAATCTGAGAACTGAGAAGGAATGAAAGCAGCAAAAACAGAAGGAAATGCAAAAACGAAACTGGGGTGAGAGAGGCTCGAACTCTCGACCTCAGGATAACTCAGAAGCTATGAGACCTACGCGCTAGCCAACTGCGCCACCACCCCTTGTTGTTCTTGTGTCTGACAAAAGATATGTTCTACTAACTACCAAATAGGATTATTATGCAAATAGGACACCCTAAAATAAACCCAAAGTTTGAGGATAGGTCTAATTTACTCATTTGAACAAAGAAAGGTACCTAATGTAATGCATATTTAGTCTCAGAATTTTTAGGTTACACTTCTGATATGTGATATGTAGGACGGGATACTTAACAAGACTTGACAAGTCTTGTATGTATCATCTTTCATGTTGTTACTCGTGTTGTACACATGCAAATGCACAAATAATATAGTTTTGTTTGATATTCAATTTTTCTTCTTTTTTGTGTTGTTGTATCTCATAATTCTATCGTACCCCATTTTTCTGTTAGAATGTGTGTGTTACGTGTTATATTATATTGTTTAATGTCATTTTCTTGTATCACGTTATTGTGTCCTATTCGATATTAGGTTTGTTTAAAATAAGGGAAAAAATGAATCAACTGAGCACAAGTTGATGATCTAGTGGTGACCAACCTGTTGCTCACCAAGCCTTCTGGCAGGCATTCCCTGTGTTGGCCCCAGCCTTATCTTTGTAAATACTACCACTAAAATATTAGTGCAAAAAAAGAAAAAAAATGAGTCAACAAGCAAAAGTGTTATTTTTGTTTTAATTGAACTTCATGACTAATTCATCAAGGTTGAGATAGTATTTACTGTTTAGAGACTTTTGCTGGAGCTAAATCTTATTATAATTGGTTATAATTCTTTTTTTCTAAAATCCTATGGGAATGGGTCTTAAAATTCAAGATTCACACTTCAAAAATTAAAATATTTTATTATTTGGGCTAAACCTTGTTGATTTGTGTAAACTTTTTTTTTTAAATCAAACAAATAAAAAGCATTCAAGGGTATTATAGTCTTTCACTAATATATACAAACTTAAAACTTTAATCATTGCCTTAAAATATACAAAAGCTAGTAATTATTATATCCGACGATTAATTGTTGCTCATGGGTGCACCGGTTAAGCTAAATCCCTTTATCAAATCTTGAAGTTAAACTCCTCTTTATTTATTAGTTTTGAGTAACGACCTTGAACATGTTCGGTTCTATGGTGTAGTGGTTAGCACTCTGGACTTTGAATCCAGCGACCTATTTTGTGTGTTTCTTTTTCTTTTTTTGTTTGTTTTCCTTTGACATTTTTTTTGTTTTTTTTGGCCAAAACATTTTTTTGTTTTGTTTTCAATTTTTCATCACCTTGTTTTGTTTTCCTTCGACCTTTTTTTTTGTTTTGTTTTCTTTTCATCACCTAAAATCACTACTAAAATGAAAGGTAGAAGATTACTTTATTTTTTTTAATCACCTCTTGTTTTCTTTCATCATCTTAAATGGAAGGGAGAAGAGAAGGTTACAAGTAGTAGTTTTTTGCACGTAGATTAAAATTTTGGATGAATTTAATTTTAAGTTATATTATTATTATTATTATTATTATTATTATTATTATTATTTTTAGTGAAAGCCAAATTGAGGATTAATGTGGTGCCTTTTTTTGGCTTTTTCTGGTCTTTTCTCACTTTTCGAGTGACTAAAAAGGCTCTCGATGAATTTCCTCCATTACTTTTCCTTCTGTCCTTTTTTGTAATTTACTATTTTTATATTTATGATTAAGTGTGTTTTAATTACATATTAATTGTGTGTGAATATTAGGATTTATCGGTTCAACTTTTCTGCCGGAATTCCAAAGGATTGGTGCTATAAATGTATCTGCTATAATGGTTGATTCATAGGTAAATTATTTACATTCCAGTTCTATTTTCATTTCGTCTTCATTTTTATTTGGATGGGTATCTTCTTCCCTAATATTTCTCTGAATTGATTTCACATGAACTCTGTTTTGTTTCTTAAAATTTCCAGGTGGTCTTTGATAAGATCCTTCCATTTAATTTAGCAGCACCTTAGGATGACATAATCTAAAGTGGGGAGTTTTCACTTCTCACCGTAACATTTTGAGCTAAATCGGGATTTTTTTGTTGATTATATTATTTGATACTTAAATTTAAAATTTCCTTATTCCTCATTTATTTTACAATTTTCATTTTATTTATCATTCAACTTCCTTTTTGTTGAGGTTTCTATTAGTTGCTTATGTTTAGCATATTTCCACATTTCCAAAAACACAATTAACCAATGCTAAGTACAATCATTTTGTGATGCATTGTGTAAATTATGTATGCTCCTGCAAATGTTCTTAACTAATTCAATTTTCCTACGACAACTATACATGCTCCTTGACTACAAAAAATCAGGCATTCCTTATGTAGAAGCCAAATTCTTCCACCTACCCGAGTTCATTAATTTAACAATTGTAATCAAGATTAAAAAATGACCGCAGCGTACTATGATTTTTTAGATAATCAACATACATTTCAAGCAACAATTAATATTAACTTTATTTTGATGAATTATCTAGAGATGGAGGAGTAGAATATTAGCTTTATTTTGATGATATACCTAGAGATGGAGTAGAATTTAGGTAATGCACTTTTAAAATGAAAGAGAGGTCATGTGTTTTGCTTTATATATGTGAATTATTTGTTTCGATGTATGAGTTTCTCCTAACTGATTAATTTATAGCCAATGCAATATCTTCTTACTAACCGACTTAAACAACTACAAAAAATATAGTCCTAAAAAGAAGATGACTTGTTATTATTATTATTATTACTACTACTTTTTAAAAGACTAGATTTCTTAATCTTTAACTATTTTTAAGTTTGAATTAAAACTTATAATAATTTTTTTGAGACAAAAACTTATAATAATTGATTGTTAGGCAAAATCTTGGATATCTTAATATTATGTAGTATATTTTCAATTAATTCTTTAATTTCTTAAAATTAAATTTTGTCGGCAAACAGCAATTGATAAAAGTATATAACTTGATACATGATCTACAACTTTGTATAAATATAAACGATTAGTTTTGATTGTTCGATTGGAATCAATATAACTTTTTTTCCCTAAGAATTGGTACAAAAGAGGTGATATGATCTAAAGCTTTGTATAATTATAAACTTATACAAAAGAATTGTTATTATGACATTATTCTAAGTAATTTTAATAACTAATTTTGTTAACAATTTCATGATAACAAACCCTAAATTACAGTTGATGCAAAAAAAATCCCTTAATTACAATAGCCTGTTATTGAAAAAATTTAAGTTACCAAAAAAATTATACGTGAACCAACGAATTCAATAACATTTCATAGTAATTTAGACAACAATTTATCAATAACAAATTTTATCGATTTTACGTTCAGAGCCACTAAATGTAAAAAACACAATTGGAACCAAAGTAGAACAGGGAAGGCAATCGTTGAGTTGGAACTAGGGGTGATAAACGGTCGGTTTAGGTTTAATTTAATCGGTTTTAGTCGGTTTTGAAATGGAAAATATGAATACCAAGCACCGATCGATATATATAAGAAACCGAGGTTGTCGGTTTTTGACGGTTTCGGTTGGTTTTTAATAATATCAATTATATATATAATAAAACTAATAAAAATAATTTATTATATATTTTTTATATATATCATAAATATATTATATATATATTATATATATATCATAAATATATTTATCATATATCATAAATATATTTTATATATAATGCCATAATCGGTCGGTTTGGATTCGGTTTCGGGTTAGAAAACCTATACCGAATATCGACCAATTATGCATAATCGGTGGCGGTTTAAACCGCCTCATCTCGGTCGGTTTTTTACGGTTAGAACGGTTTAAATCGTCTACTTCTCAACCAAATGAACATGGAAAACAAACTGAATGAACAGCAATCAGAGGACAAAAAGGAGTGAAAGAATAAAATAAGTGGGAAAATGTTTTGGCGCTGCTGTGAACAATACTCTGAGGGGAGGGTTTTTCTGCGACGTGGATCGATCTGGGCCATCGATTGTGTGAGAAATGACTGATTTGGCCATTGAAACAGTAAGCCCAACCAATGAAAATTCAGAGAATTCTGGATATTTTTGGAAGTTGAATCGGCTTTTGTGTATATATATATATATAAGAAAAAGCTATGTATGTTATCAGTAGAAGTGGTCAAATGAACCCGACCCGAGAAAAACCCGCACGAAAATCCGAACCCGAATCCGAACCCGAATCCGACCTGAAGCCGATTGACCAGAAAAAGTCAAATACCTGAACTTGCCTGAACCCGAATCCGAAAAAACTCAAACCCAAAAAAACCCGAACCCGAATCCGAAAATCTATGAAAATTTCATTTATGCCCTATAGTTTTTCATATGAATATGTTTAAAAGATAAATTAATAAATAACACATAAAATTTGAAAAAGGTAATGACATTATTCATCTGGATAAAAAGGGTAAATGATATGGCCAAAACCCAAACTGAACCCGAACCCGAAATTTTTTTTTTTGAAAGGCAATATTATTAAGATGGAAACAAGGGGGGTACATAGGGGAGGGTGTACTCTTTTTACTTCTTGAGGATTTTTCTCGAATTAACCTGACCCAAATTCAACCCGACCTAACTCAAATCCGAATCCAAAAATGACCCGAACCCAATAACCCAAGCCCAAAACCAACCTGACCCGCCCGTTTGCCACCTTAGTTATCATAAAGTTTGTACCTATTATTGTCAAGGGGCGGATCTTATGTTATAGGCTTGTAAAAATTGAAATTTTAAAGGTAATTCTTACATATTTTTTTTGAGTAAAAAGGTAATTCTTATATTGATCCCAGTAAAATTTGAAAAATATGCATTTGACTCATTGAACTGAGAAATTATTAAGTGGGACGGACCCACCACGTCATCTATGGGACCAACCAATGATATTAAGACAACTCATCAACTTTCTAAAACTCTATCCCAATAAAATCTTAAATTTGAGGATTTACCCTTTATATAGGGTTTGTTTTAAAATGGGGCTAAACCTTGAGCTAAAATCGTGCCTTAATTGAAGGAGTTAATTTGACATGGCAAAATTCTATTGGTTAGTCCCATGGATGACGTGGTGGGTCCGTCCCACCTAATAATTTCTCCATTGAACTAGATTTTTTTTTCGCCTAAAGCCCCCACCCCATTAAATATTTAAGAAATTAATACATATGTGCCAATATAATAAAATTAGTGTGACACTTCTTTTTTCCTTATTTCTTTTTCCCACTAAATTATTGTCACACTCACAAACTATAATTTGCTTTTCATAGTTGTATGATATATTGTATTCAAATTAATTTTATACTATTAAACTATTTTTAACCATATAATTAATAATTTTGTATCTTTGTCAAAAAAAAATTAATAATTTTGTATAGAATTTGTTGCATTTGACAGTAATATCTATCCTACTCAATTAAATACTTATAAGTTTTTTTTTTAAAAAAAAAAGGATTTTGAATGATATAACTAAAAACCATCTAGCACAACTAATGAATTAAAACTAAATAGATTTGAAAATTTTGAAATTATAAGAAGAGTTATGGTACTTTTTAAATCAAAATTATCATGTCAATTTATCTTCCCTGATGTGACATTATAATTACTAAAATCTTACAACAATAGAGGCCTTAAATTTTAAAATTTACCTTATAAGTTTTATTTTTTAAAATTGTAACTCTGTTTTTGTGTTAGGTAAAACTGGACAATTTTGATGCAACAAGAAATATTTTTTATTATAAGAAAATTGGTTTAAAACTAATTATTATAGAATTATCTATTTTCTTTTATGTATATTTATTTCAAAATTATATATGGAGAAGAAAATTATTACTATAAATAAAAAAATACTATATTTAATGACCTCACTGGCTCAGATCTCTGGCTCCTTCACTGCCCTATTGTCTACTTTTATTTGTTCCAACCTATCGAAAAATCATATTTACCCTTCTTTAGAACTATAAACTCAGTAAATGTAATAGTTGTATAAGACTATACTAAACTAATTAAATGGTGGGTAATTTGGAAATTAAGTGAAATTTGTATATAAATTTTAAAAAATAACCACTTTTCCTAATATGAAATATTAGTTATTTAGCAAGGTTTTAAAAATCGGACTGGCCATGGAACCGATGAAGGTTCCGGTTGATGGTCCGATCGCCGATCCGTTTTGATAAGATCAATTGAGGTCAAAACAATA